TGCCCACCTCTGCTCTAGTCTGTAAAGCTTATAAGAAAGCTTATTGAACTGAAAAATAGGTTTCAAAAAATCAATTTAATGTGATTCTCCTATTGTGTTACCACCATTAAAGAAACATTGATATTTCCAGTCAACCTCTCTATTATCAAGGGATTGATAGCTTAGCTGTAAACAACCATGAAAGCATCAGGCTTTAAGATGATGAAACTTTAAAAAAATGCAAAATATCTATTTCAATCTTCTAAATTTGCAGGAGGGTATAAAATATGTTTTTTCTTTTCTTTTCTTTGAAGATGGCCATTTTGTACTTTGACTTAAAAGTGGCTTCAACTGTAAAATAAACTGGGGGTGGGGGACAGCAATCATCTATACTGCACTGTTTTCAACAGTATGTTATGCTTTATAGATTATTTAAATAAGAAAAGCTGCCATGACAACAGAATAATAATTGTTCCTCATCCTGCATAGCTTTAAAGACACCCAAAGTGTCCACTGAATTTCCTTTCCAGCCAAGGGGTGAATAACATACTATGTCACTGGCCTTAAAATGCCTTGAAATACAGCTTAGTGTAGTATGCTGGAGTCATTAAAGGTATCATGTAATGGACCTACAAGAAAGGGGATGTTTGTGACCTCTTGATGAGTCTCAAAACCCAACAGAGGATGACAATGGCAGTCTCTTCATTAGAGGACTAGATAAACATTGCAAATATTTCTTTGTGTTTTAAGTGAGTTACAGTATATGCAATCCCATGATTGTTTTCCTAGGTATAGAAAAGTGTACATGGGAAAATTGGTTTTATTTTGTGAAATTTCCAAGTGAAGTAATTAAAATATCTTTCACCAAGTGTTATGCATGCAGAGCTCCTTCTTCAGCTCCTAGAGATATTCTTGGGATCAGTAGCTCCTTGATATGGTTGAATTTTAATTTATAAAGCAAACTACCACTTGTGATCTGAACCTCCTTAAAGTTTGAGGGTGGTTAGATCTGGGGGTTTAGTTCAGAATTCTCTCCAAAATTTGGTGAACAAAACCCCAGTCATAACAGCTATATTTTGCATTGTCTCTTTTCTTCCATATTGTGATACATTGGTTATCTTTGTTTTCTTATTCGTATGCAAAGGCAGAAGACAGCATACAAGAGAATTTGGGGGACAGAGGTATCTGCTCTAAATTCTGACTGCTAAATATTTATGTTTATTTCATTGTATTATTCCTCCTCTCATTTGTTAAAGATTCTTTGACAAATGGGTTCAGTAATCAGCACATAAAATAGCATAATTTTAAATCTTGCATAGGACATTGTGCATACAGAGAATAAATAACACACTGCTTAGTGTTTTCAAGTAGTGTTCATGCTGGAAGATAGAAGCTTTCTGTTCCACATGTACTGCATTGCTATCAGCATTTTCTTCTCTGCTGGGGGTACTATTATAGAACAAATTACCGAATACAGCTAAACGTCATGTTTCTGAAACACTGAATTTAATCTTAGGTAATAATTTGAACTTTATATGCAATAACAAACAAGCAGACTCTTTATAATAGCTTGTTATTTGGATAACAGATGGGAAGTGAATATATTGTACTATGCTAAGGATATACTGGTTGCAGCTATAGTAAAGATTGCATCCAGAGTTCCAGGGAATGGCTAATTTTGATAAACATCTCTTCCCCCACAAAATATTTTAATAGAAGTAGCTGATGTTCAGGGTTTGCATGAGCTTAATGTGTGTTCTGTAAAATGTAATACTTCTATATGATGTCTAGAAGTGTAAGGCCAGAGGAGTGTCTGTAGGAAGGACATAGGGAATCTCTCTTTTCTACATAAACTGAAGTTTATGTAAAAAAAAAGGTGACTGCTCAGTCACCTTTAGCAGAAAAAAATGTTTTTATTGTAGATATATGAAATGTAATATTTATCTGCATTTTAACTCACTGTTCTGAACATTGTGTTTTATCCTTGGGAGCAGAGGTGATTTATTTATTATACTTAAAAAGTGAGACAGTAATGGTTAGAAGCTCATGTAACGTGTTAAGATCTGAAACCTTTACCCAGGGCCTCTTTCACTCCCCAGTGGGGGTCACTGGCCATCTAGGGAAAGGAAAAATGAATTTTGACTCACCTCTTCCATTAGGAGCATGGTTTGCCACAAAAGGACGCAGGAGTTTCCAGTCCCCTACTCTCAAGCATGCCCTGTGAAAGCCCTGTGCTTCTGGAAAGATGCTGACTGCCCACTCCCTAAAGGAACCAGGCTACAAATGTTTGAACCCACTCCACATGGTGTGTATGGAGCCATGTTCCATAGTGCAGTGAAAGAAGCAAAGCAAGTCAGTAGAGCTAGGGACGGACATTCAAAAAGCCTGGGCCTGAATTGATTCAATCTTTGCAGGTTAGTCTAACCTGGCTAGGCTGAACCAGTTTGTAACTATACGGACATCCCCTCTGGACTAAAGAAATGCAGGCACATGCTTGTAGTGGCTCAGGCTAGAAGCCAGGGGGTGCTAGAGCAGCCCTCCCTTCCCTTCGACAGGGCTGAGCTGAGGGGGGTGTGGCCAGGCCTTGGTAGGATGCTCTGTTTAGGGACGCTCCCCCTGCCCCCCTTGCTGCTCTTGACCAGCCCAGCAGAGAGTTGATACCAGAGCATTTATCAGACCATCAGCAAAGTGAAAGCCTCTCATTAGTTCAAGCAAGGAAGAAATGGAGAGACATTACCAGCTGACCTGTTAATTATCTCCCAAAAGCCCTAAGCAGATACTGTCCTGTCTGTCTTTGTCCTGCCTGCCTTACACAGACCCTCTCAGCATTAGCTACCATACCATATTCTGGTTACAGTCTGTGCTGTAGGAGGGAGGAAGGGGGGATCCCTGCTTGAGTGGCGGGGGGCGAAGCAGGGGCAGGGGAAGCCAGGCAGAGGCTGCTGTGCCTGCATGTCTCTGCTGGAGCTCCAGTGAGGGAGTAGAGGGTAGGGGCCAGCCCAGCTCTCTGGAGCAGAGAGTCCTGCCCAGCCCAGAGAACATGTCGGGATGCTGGGGGAGTCTGATTTAACTTAAACCAGGAAGAGGTCTGGGACAGGCATTGCATAAACTCATTTGACTCAAATCAGTTAAGTCTGATACTCCATTCAATCAGGTTTATCTCAAACTGGTTTCAGCCATTTTCAAACTAGGTTATGTGCACTGAACATCTGTTCTGTTACAGGTTTAAACCAGTTTCTGTACATTTAAACTGGTTTGTGTGTAATGTCTGTCCCTAGCCTAGAGGCTCACCATGCAGCAATTTGTCCCTGTATGTGGGAAGGAGCTTTTAGCCATCATCCCACCCTCCCTGTTCTTACAATCCTGGATCCACTATGGAGACACTGAGACAGGGTTTCCACGAGATCAGGAGAAAGTGGGGAGTCTGCTGCATGTCATCTCTCCTTCCTCCCTTGTTTCCTTTGTCACAGCCAGCAGGTTCAACATGCTTATGCTCATGGAAGCACAAGGGGGGCATAAGATTCTGAGTTTCTGTTCAGTCATTATTGATGGAAAAGTCTCTCTGATGTCAATGGGAGAGTTGTCCAGGTATTGACTGTGAGATATGGCCCAGTAAAATTTGCTTTTTCAAAAAAGAAACCACTCTTTTATCTGTATCATTTTTCTTTCTAGTGGAAAAACAGCAGGAATCCTTTACAACAGCAGGAATCCTTTGCAAAGATCTTGCTTTAGCTAAAGAATTTCATTAACTATTCACACTATTTTGATTTTCCATTCTGCTTTAATACAGAACAAGTTTCAGCCTACAGAAATTCACTGCTGGGGTAGTTCAGCCTGTCTATCAGCCACTACAAAGAGCCCATCCAGCCCAAAGGTTCAGCCTTATTCAGAGAAGTGTACAAGAGACAAAAGCCATCTTCCAACCAGGAATAGGCTATAAGAGCATTTTTGGTCTAAGAGGTATCTCCTTGTACCAAAACTAATAGCTGCTCCAGTGCCACCACCTTGTCTTGTCTATTTAATCCAGCAAAGATTCCCTATGTCTGCCTCACCTGTCCTTCTCTTCCCCCTACTCCTAGCCCATCCAGCACAAGCCGACTTCAGCAGCACCAAGAGAGGCCATTAAGCTGACTATCCACAAAAACCAAACCTTTCAGCCTTTGAGCAGGCTCCGCTGTGGTAGAACAAGAGGTTCACTATGAAAAGTCCAGTCTTTGTGAAGAATCTACTGTGGGGACTGAAGAGCCAGTACTGAGCAGGAACATGTGCTAGTAGTTATTGTGGTCAGATGTCACATAGACCCTGAGCCCCAAGGTGTAGTAGGTCATTTAAAGAGAGGAAAGAGGACATTGGAAGGACAGTCCACACTAAGGACTGGAGCCTGCAGGTGCATTCATCATATGAATCATATTCTAAACTGTATTGGGGCCTGAGCAATGAAGATGGCCAGGCAAAAAGAACCAACAGTGAGTGACAGGAATTAGAATTATTGACTAACTGGCAATCTGTGCAAGCAGAAATTAAGCCTTGATCACTAACTCACTGATGTGGAAGTACTGTGATTGTGTAGCTGGTTTAAAACAGGATATATGTAAAAGGATTTTCTCCTTGTCTCCTTGAATGCCAGCTTTGTTGGGGGGTTGATTGTGTTCCTTTTCTGGATGAGACATTTGTACCTTTACATTCCTGGCACCATGCAGACACTGCTGCCTGTTCTTAAATTGGTCTGTGAATAGCACCTCAGTGAATCAGTTATCTGCTTAATCTGCTGACTGAGCAAGGCATTTGGGGAAGGGAGAGAGAAAGGAGGGTTTTCGTTTGGATCTTTGTTAATGAAGGAGCATGTTATACCTCAATTCACCTGTATATAAAGATACATTTTAGATAGATTCTATGTCATACAATAGTAAGATTTTTTTTTTCAGATGGGAAACCAACAGGGTTGTGGCCTTTGTTTACCATCTCTAATCCAGCACAAAAACCGCCTACTCATAAAGTGTTTCCTTTTCATTCCTTTTCAGAAAGAGAAAAAGAGTGGATTGTTGAAGCTTCTAGCAGGAGCATCGACAAAAAAGAAATCACGTTCCCCACCTTCAGTGTCTCCAACACATGACCCGCAGGGAGTGGTCGAAGGGGCTCTGCAAGGGGCAGTGGGGCCTGAACTCTCCTCCCTCTCCAGCCATGGCCGGGCAGGATCGTGCCCAATAGAAAGTGAAATGCAAGGAGCCATGGGGTTGGAGCCCCTGCACAGGAAAACAGGCTCCTTGGATTTGAATTTTTCTATCCCTTCTCCTGCTAGACAGCCGCCATCTTCAATGGCAGCCATCCGTCCAGAGCCCAAGCCATTGCCCCGGGAAAGGTAGGCCACATCCACTGAAAGCTTTACTTCTGCCTGGGTTTGCAAATGGTTTGAGCCAGCTCTACCACATGCCCATAAGGTAGTGTTCATGGAGAAGAGACATGGGGGCTGTTATAATTGTGCTGTCCATTAGTTTAAAAATGTATAAGACAACTGACCCTACAGATTGTTCAGCTATTTATTAAATTAGAAGACTGGGGCCATTCTACCTATTGAAAACCAGCTCACGCCTGAGTAAGACAACTATGATTTAAATTGTTAAAAAAACAGCATTTAGAAGTGTATACCATATGGTCATCACAGTTATTTCCTGTGTTTAACAGAGGAGTAAGCTGCAGTATCTCATACCACTATATGGGGATGCTGTTGGCAAATGCCACCTTTTAAGTAAGAATCACTGTATATTAGTCTCAGTTGAATGTTATGTAGTACATCATATGCTAGGTAACAGCAGAAGTGTTTTTGCTCAGTCTACTGGCCTGTTGAATAGTATCAAACAAGGAAGTCTTTAGAATACCTGGTTATTTAGGTCATTACCAAGTAGTGCCACCTCCAATATACTTTTCCACCAGAAATAGCTTGTTCCCTGCAGCACAAGGAATGTGACTAGAATTCTTGAGTTTGTTTTGGTAGTCAGCTCTGCACCTTGCTATCCAGAAAGCTGCTAATCTTGTGAACAAGAAAAGAAAATAGGGTAGCACCACCAAGAGAGAAGAAAGGAGAAAACGGACTGGAAAGAGAGAGGCAGACTCAGACCTTGTCTACTTTCAAAGATAAATGGGTTTAAAGCAAACCTTGTTTGAAAGGTATAGAAATATTCCATCAATAATTCTATTCTGTGGTTCCTTGAACATTTGAGGGGAAAGACTATAATGTATTCATATCATATGACAATAAAACACTCTTAACTCCAATAGTAACCGAAGACGATGTTAAAAATCAACTAACATGGCTAAACCCTTGTAAATCAACAGGTCCAAATAACTTACGCCCAAGAGTTTTAAAAGAGCTGTCCAGGGAACTCTTTACACCTTTAACATTGAATTTCAATAGGTCTCCACACACTGGAGATATTCCAAAAAAACTAAAAGAAAACCAAAATTGTGCCAATATGTAAAGTGGGTGAGAAAAATTACTCTGGTAGCTCTAGGCCTGGTGTGACTGTTACTGAAATACTCTTTCTAGTTCTCGTATCTCTTATTCAGGTAGAAGAAAGGTAAAAAATGTCAGTGTTCAGAGAAGAACCACAAGGATTATTAAAGGATTGGAAAAGGTGTCTTTTACTTAGACAGAAAAGGCCCAATCTAGTCAGTTTATTGAAGAGCAGGTTAAGGGTGGCATGTTCATTGCTTGTAAACACCTAGACAGGGAACAGAAATGTGATAATAAATGTCTCTTCAATCTAGCAAGCAAAGGAATAACAAGATCCAGTGGGTAGAAGTTGAAGATAAATTAATTAGGACAAGAAATACAGCTCAATATGTTGATAGTAATGGAAACTGACTGTTGAAACAACTCACCAAGGGCTGTAGTGGCTGTCCATTGCTGGAAATATTTAAAGCAAAATTAGGTGCTTCCTAAGAGATACATTTTAATTCAAGCACAAGTGTTGAACTTGAAGTATGAATGAATACAGGACATCCTATGGCCTATGTTATCCAGGAAGGTGGACTAGACTATCACTGTGGTCCCTTTTGGCATTAAGAAAGCAAAGTAGTTAAGAGTGAAAAACCAAACCCTGTGTGGACATACTTAGCTTGGTTTATACCTGCCACATATTGATTTAGATTAACATAACACAGAGACTTAAATCAACATCAACTGGATTTAGCACCAGTTTGAACTAAATCAGTTTAAAATCACACTTTACTTTAAGGCTAGGTACAGACATTCAAAAAGACCAAGGCGGAGTCAATCTGAGTTAATGACGTTTTCTGTAAGCAGTGTAGTTTAGATTGATACTGAACAGAAAGCACATTTGCCCTTAAGTGGAAGGGGAGGCAAATCGTAGACCAGGTTCTGCCATTTTTAAACCAGTCTATGTGTGCCGAACTTCTGTTTTGTTACGGATATAGACTGGCTTCCGATAACTTATACCAGTAAAGGTATCATGTCTGTACCTAGCCTAAATGTAACTATGGTATAGAGAAGGCCTCAGAAACAAACATAAGGAATGAAACAGGAAAGGCATCCTTTGCATATCTTGCGCCAGCTGCTGCAGAGACTTCAAAAGTGCATTGCTTCAGATGCTGGCACATGCCACATGTTTGTCTAGTACCTAATGCACCACCCAGTGGCCTTCCAGGGAAACTGCTCACTTTTGACAGCACCAATCCATTGCAGTGAAGTGGAGTAGTGAGAAATTGATGGGGAGGTTTGGTAAATTCTGTCTGATCAGAATTATTAGAATCAGTGAATGGGCTTAGAGACCAGACACCTAAACAGTTAAAAATATTGGTAATTGCAATACGCAGTGGTAAAGAATTCCTTTGGATTTTAAGCATTTTGATTTCCTGAGCCTTAAATCGGAAAATAAGCTATAATTGAAGTAACCTTAATTATACACAGCAGGCAAGATTCTCTAATTGATTTATGAATTAGCTTCCATATCATTGGTGTATCTGCATTCCTTAGCTGATCAAATAGTTCTTTATGCATATAATGGGGAATATAAATTACCTTTGTGCATGAGGAAGAATAACGCTTAGTCCTGGAATAATCTGAGCAGACACATTAAGTGCTTGTCTCTTAGAAATTCATCCCACATCCATCTGTGCTCATTAAATCACCAAATTGCTCCAAAGCACCAAATTATTTTTTTTTAAACAAATTACGGTTTTGAAACTGCTTGTTCATTTCACATCTGGCAATGGAGAGACTTGCGTTCAGCATCTCAAACCCTGTATTTTGCTTGTTTGCATTTTTGTGCATTTCATCCCCACAGTAGGACCAATTCTTTTAAAAAGAAGAAGAAAAAAAGATTAGATAAATAGATTCAGATGCTTGATGAAATTTATTTAAAAAAAAAAACTGCAAAGCATTTCAGTGCACTTAGCTGTACTTGGCTTCTAATCTCACAACGCCCATCTGTGCACATACAGACGCCGAGAAAGATTGGAAAGAGTAGCACATTCCTTAATATTTACAACTTTCCAAATGGGGCTTTTGCAGACAGCAGGGCCATAATACTTCTTCCATATAGGTTGGCTTTCTAACTCCTTGAGTCCCCTGCCTGCACACTACTGATCAAAACCAAGCTCTTGACATTTACACTGCTCACCATATTAGAGGTGCATCAAAGGACTCTAATTGCTTGCAGCTTTGAGGGTCACACACTAAAGAGGAATTATGTGTTCTTCTGAATGGCAAGGCAGCCTTTCGTGCACATAAATTACATCAGGTCAGAGGAAGGTGATTCGAGGTCAAGCTCATCACAAGATTTTCTAATTTTCATGCTCCTAATTTCCTTCTCTTGCCATATGTAGGTAAAGGAGAAAGGAGAGTTAGTTTTAACATTGCTTCACTTATGTATTTGGGTGTTGGGCTGACCGTGGTTTGGTTGCAATGGAAGGCCCTGGTTCTCTCATGTCTTTCAATGGATGTTAAGTCAATTTGCTAAAGAGGAGGAGTTAGCCATGCTAATCTAAAGTTAGGCAAAAGACAGGGCAGGGTACCACCTTAGGGCATCTTTACTCGGGCTCTGGGGCGGGGGCGGATGGGGGGGCTTTAATTAGAGTGGCTTTTTGCAGGCAAGAGTCAGGATTGATCATGTGAATCAGGCATGACTGATCATGTGAATCAGGCATTAGATCCCATCACACCTTTACCTGCACGTGTAGAGGGGCCCATAGAGCCTTCAAACAAGATACTACCATGACAATAGTTCAAGACAGGATAAGTACAGTGTATGACTTGTAAAATATACATTTCATTCAGCCATCATGTGCACTCATCAGGGATGTTCTCCACAAATGTCTGCTTCATTCAAAGCTGAGGTCCTTATTCAGGAAAGCACTTACACACATGCTTATGGATTTCTTGCTTTAATTTCCCTGTATTTACATTTATTTTTTTGTTCAAAGAGAAGGCATATAAATGGTAAAGCAATTTTAACAATGACCTGAACATGTTCTAACCTAAGCACATGCACAAATCCCTGTTACGTTTTCCTGCATAGAGATACTTACCTGGATTAAAATGCCACTTCCAACATTTAAAATGAGCTACTCAGCAAAATGTGATTTCCAGCACGGAGTGTTCAGGATCTAGGTGAGGCCCACAGCTGACTTGTTTGAGGTTACTTACTAATTCAGTGATTGTAATAGGAAAGCAGCCAGGTGGCTTCAGGCCTTTAATGTTTGAAGAAACTTCTTAAGTCTCTGAAGTCTTCCATCTAAATTATGCAGCAGTCAGACTGTACTTTTAACCAACAGTATGGGCCTAAATGGAATAAATTGTTTATTTCCACTTGGTAAGGGTTGTCATATATGAAAGGCTTGGTATACCCAGTACAAACATGATCTACTTGTGCTTATTCCTTCTATGAAACTTTGGTAGGTGAGGTCTCTTGCTTTCTTAGACCGTAATGTGTTTATATTGCATGCAAAAACTACACTAAGAGAATATTAAGGGTGCAAAATCAAGCACTCAGAAGTTACCAAATGTCAGAATTAAGGTTGCTTATCCAACCATAATTAGCCCCTTGTGCATTATTATACCGTCTTTAATCACGGTTGCATATACTTTCTTTTTTCCACAAGACCGCTGGTTCATCCAGTGTGTAGCTAGTCAGTATTTTATTCAGCATGTGGCCTAAGGCCTTATTTACTCCTTGTTTAGCATGTGGTCTCAGGCCTTATTTCATGCCAACTTTCAAAGCCTTTTTCTGAAGATGGAATCACTAATTACTGGATGGGCTTTTTCTGTGGCACTCAACACTGTAGTGTCACAACCATTAATTGCTTTATTTTCACCTGGGCCCCATGAGTTGACAAGGTGGT